AGTCAAGCTGTTGCTGGGACCAGTCAGCTGTTGCTGGACCAGTAGCTGTTGCTGGAATCAGTCAGCGGTTGTGGATCTGTCAGCTGTTGCGGGATCAGGTCAGCTGTTGCTGGATCAGTCAGCTGTTGCGGGATCAGTCCAGCTGTTGCTGGATCAGTCAGCTGTTGCTGGACCAGTCAGCTGTTTGTGCTGGACCAGTCAGCTGTTTGCTGGACAGTCAGCTGTTGCTGGGGACCAGTCAGATGTTGCTGGACCATCAGCTGTTGCTGGGACCAGTCAGCTGTTGTGGACCAGTCACTGTTGCTGGGACCAGTAGCTGTTGCTGCGATCAGTCAGCTGCTGCTGCAACCTCGGTTCAGCTGCTGTTTGCACCATCAGCGGTTTCTGAACATGACTCGTCCCGAACTGTCGTCCAAGCTGAGCGCCCTGCCTTGCGTCATTGTTTACAAGCCAGGGTGGCCGGTTGCCTGCTTACATTGATACATTTTGTATTATTCCATTATTTAAGTGCTTGTAACTGCTAAATAAGCCACCATGGGACCAAGAAAGTTCTGTGCCACCCTGTGGTAAAAAAGGGGATAAATACTTCGTACCACAGTCAGCTGTGCTGCTGCACCACGGTTCAGTGATAAATTGGACCAGTTCTGCTGCTGTCTGCACCACAGATCTGCTGCTGCACCATGGTCAGGCTGTTGCTGCAACCGCTGCTGCTGCACCATGGTCAGCTGCACCCCAAGCCGTTGTTTGCTGCACCACCGTCAGCTGTATTAACTAGAAGATGTGGAGAGAGTGTTGTTGGTGTGGGCTTAACATGAAAACCCCCCCAGGTTACGAGAAACAATTAACCCCAGCAGGGTTAGCCACCCAGGATAACCCAGGACAAGTTCAGTGCATCAGCGAGGACTTAACTTATTTCCATTGGGGTTCCTTAATCTTGTCTCCCAGGATGACAACCCACACCAGTCGACTAACTCCTAGGGTGAACAGGGGGGAAAATGCCTGGAACTAGTGGCTCATATTGGTGAATTTAAAGCCAGCAAAGGTTGGTTTGAGAGATTTAAGAATGTAGTGGGCATTACACAGGTGATAAGTGCCCTGTTTTGGAAGAAAATGCCAAACAGGACCCACAGTATTCAGAGGAAAAGGCACTTCCCAGGGACACGTGTCTATCATTTCCATTGCTGCATCTTCAATAAAGGTAGTGTCATTTATTCATCATTAGTAGAGTAGTACATGCACAATATATACTGTTGCATGTACTACGCTACTATTGTGCATGTATCCTTCTCTTTGTGTGTAGGAAAATGTTATATTTCATGTGGTTAAAAATTTTTTTTTCATACTTTTGGGTGTCTTCGCACGGATTATTTGATTTCCAATATTTCTTATGGGGAAATTCCTTCGCTAACGAATTAAAATTGTTTTCGCCATAACAATGAGCTCTCATAACGGATTAATATCGTTATGGGGGGGTCCACTGTCAGTGTAAATAGCCTCTCTATGGAAAAAGAGGCAAATTGAGTCTGTTACAAAAAGAAGAGCAGAGCTGAAATCAGCAACTAAGACCAGTGTCACTCCTGTCAAAAAAAAAAAAAAAATCCCCCCCAAAACTGTGGTAGATCCTTGAGACGTAATCTTCAAGAAAATGACAGAGTTTTTGACTACCACTCACTTCTTTGTGGTCGTCAATATGGCTTCAGGAAAGGTTACTCTGCTGCTGATCTGTTGTTAAACCTCTCCACTAAGTGCTGCTGATCTGTTGTTAAACCTCTCCACTAAGTGGCACCAGTCACTGGATGAATCCAAAGTCAGCTGTGTGGTAGAACTGGACATTGCTGGACTTTTCGACGGGGGTGTGGCACAGGGCCTCTTAGCAAAACTTCAAGCACTGGGAATTGCAGGCTCTACGTTATGTCTCCTCAGTGATTACCTTCATGGTAGATATCTAAGTGTAGTTCTCAATGGAACGGAATCAGCAAGACATCTATTGGGGCAAGTGTTCCAAAGGAAGCGTTACTGGGACCATTGTTATGGAATGTCTACTTCACAAACCTTCTTCCATCTCATCCCAGAATCAACATGCTATGCAGACGACTGTACGCTGAATTCACTTATCTCCATGAGAAGATATGCCAGCCCTGCTCTAAGCTACATCAACACCAGCGAGAGCTATATCAGCTTGGGAAATATAGATGGCAAGTAAACTTTTGCACCTGTGGAAAACGCAAATGATGATCGTCTCTAGGCTCCATGGGTGGTAATGCTGGTGCCGTAGTAAGGTATGAATGGGAGGGTGTTGGGCACTGGAGAAGGAAGTTGATATCTTGGGGTGAAATTTGACTCCAAACTAAGTCCACCCATGAAGAACCGTATGTTGTAAATCTTGCAAACAAGGCAGCGAGGAAGCTTACATCACTTCGCCGTAATTCTCGCATCTGCTTGACAGTAGGGGTTGCAAGTTTCTGTACGAGCTCAAGTATGCTCAACCATTGGAGTATGCTCCACTTTCTTGGTTTGCCTGCCTCCCCCCCCCCTCTCATCTGTTGACTGTTGACAGAGCTAGAGAACAGAGCAAAGACGTCTCATCTCTCGCCTGGGAACCCATCTGGATAGGAATTGTCATTTCAGCAGAGTCTTCCAAAATCGAGGGATGTGGGTCGGCCTTACTGTTATGTACAAGGCCAATATTGTCCAAGTACCACACTTCGGATCCACTTCGAGACAGCGTGAAGCAAGTTTTATGCCACAAGATGGGCGGATAGCAGCAAACTTCACTCTGGCTGTACCTTCTCCAGAACATCTCCATCTGAGATCATTTATACCCAGGGAAGACTCGGAGTATGAGAAACTTCGTACAGCTAATGATGTCAGCGAGATAAAAGTCTGTTGATCAATGAAAATGTGGCCCACAGATGGCGCAAACTTCATCCTGATTCCCTATTGTAATGTCTCATAACAAAAAAATGCTTTCAAATGAGCTGATAGTAGCGTAACAGCTCTTAGCGTGCCAATAAAGTTAGGAATCCTTAACCTGTAAATAGCTTGTCAGTAAAGCTAGGGATCCTTAACCTTGTCAAACCCTGTGTAAAAAAAAAAAAAGAGGAGTGAGATATTGCAGTTGGAGAATAATATGAATTGTGATTTCAGTATACTTCTGGCAAATCAGCAGTTGATATAGTTTTTGTAAATATGATAATGTGTTTAGTGTTAATCTCTCTGATTTTTATACATAAAGTCACACTTATGAACAGTGGAGCACTGCAGTAGGTCTTTTGGCCCTTACAATAATTTTATATTCTAGTTTTAGTCTGCTTGAAACACTCTTCATCAACAGATTTTTTTAAAATGTATACAGTAAATGTACCCCAGTTTTGTAACAGTTGTGTATATTTTGAAAATAAAATTTGTTTGAATATGAATGCCTAACTATTTTAGAATAATTAATATAATTAATTAATTAAAACCATCCTTGTTTCAGAGACCGTATTGGTCACAAATTAGCTGAGCAAGCAAGTCAAAAACACAGAAACAAGAAATGCAAAGCTATACTGGCAGCCAAGTGCAACTTGGCAACTCCATCAAACAAGTTTGGTCAACAATCATCCCTGGAGAGAGTACCTCTATGTCACCAGCAGCACAAAAACTTTTGACAACTAAGCTTGGAGTAGGACAAAGCACGGATAAAGCTCTTCGAGCTTCTTATACACCATCTCCTAGTGTGCGGCATGGCTCAGCTACCCCAGGGCCTGTAACTCCCAATATTGCCTACCTTCCTACCTCATGTAGAGGCATCACGCCAAAACTCCAGACTCGGAAAAAAGTTGCAAATACCGGATGTGCCGCTGAAGGAGAGTCTTCACTGGGACTCACTGACAACTTGCTTAACCTGCCAAAGAGATCCAAGAGTGCCTCAACACAAGACAGTGACAAAACAGAAAATGCCAGGAAATGTGCTGCAGATTTCTTTTAATAATCCACTACTGGACTGTATTCATTGTTAGTTTTATTGTTTGTGAACCTGCACCTATGTATATATTTTAAAATATACATTAAATCTGTATGAGTCATACATTTATGTACATATAATTTACATTCTGTCCAGATATATAAAGTTATGTACTGTATGCTTGTTTCATTTGTACGGAAAGTAGGAAATAATAATTAGATAATATATTTTGAATAAATAACCATTTTATGTTCATTGCTAAGAAACTTGATATTATACCTGAATTTTTGTGCTAATGATTTTTTCTTCATCAATAGAGGTTTGCTAGTTAATTTTAATCTTACTACAAACAATTTCTCAGGTATGTGTAGAATTAATGTTCTTCTTTCTTTCAACACACTGGCCGTATCCCACCGAGGTGGGGTGGCCCAAAAGGAAAAACAAAAGTTTCTCCTTTTACATTTAGTAATATATACAGAAGAGGTTACTAGCCCCTTGCTCCTGGCATTTTAGTTGCCTCTTACAACACGCATGGCTTACGGAGGAAGAATTCTGTTCCACTTCCCCATGGAGGTAAGAGGAAATACAAGAACAAGAACTAGAAAGAAAATAGAAGAAAACCCAGAGGGGTGTGTATATATATGCTTGTACATATATGTGTAGTGTGACCTAAGTGTAAGTAGAAGTAGCAAGACGTACCTGAAATCTTGAATGTGTATGAGACAATAAAAAGACACCAGCAATCCTACTATCGTGTAAAACAATTACAGGGTTCCGTTTTACACTCACTTGGCAGGATGGTAGTAACTCCCTGGACAGTTACTGTCTACCAACCTACTACGTAAGGCGAAACGCTCTAAAGCGGGGCCTTACTGTATACATTTTATTTGTCATGCATTCTACATTGCCACGATAAGCCTGAGTCACCTAGACATGAGAGAATGGGTGTGCGCACTCACTGTGCGCCATATTAAAATAATTGGGGATGCCTGGGTACCATATGCTCTTTTTTCCTATTAAAAAACAACAATTTGTTTTTTCTCAAAAAATTTAGGGCACTACGGGAGAGAACGTATATATACAGTGGACCCTCGAGTTTCGGCAGCATCAACTTTCGTGAAATTCGACCTTCGGCAAATTTTTTTGGCAAAATTTGGCCTTGAGTTTCATGATTAGACTCGTGTTTCGGCGACCATCCGGTACCCGTCCGCCTGTCACCATGCATACAAGCCAGTCTCCCACACCATTCACGCTCAGTGTGCCATTGTTTACCAACACGTGACCATCACCCTGCGGGTTCATACAATACATTTCATAATAATCCATTGTTTTTTGTGCTTGCAACTGCTATATAAGTCATCATGGACCCAACGAAAGCTAGTGCAAGCCCTTTGGTAAATAAAGTGAGAAACACGATCCAGAGGGATTTTGAAGGGTTTGAGGCAGACCCTGTCCCTGCTGACCCTCTGCCTGTTGTGGAAGGTGTTGTGGCATTGGGCAAGTCCATAGGGTTGGAGGTGAGTGACGGGAATGTGGAAGAGTTGGTGGAGGACCACAGAGAAGAGCTAACCACTGATGAACTGCAAGAGCTTCAACTGGAACAGCATCAGACCGCAGCCAAGGAACTTGCTTCAGAGGAGGAGGAAAAGAGAGTGAAGGAGGTTCTTTCTTCAGTGATTAACCCTTTCAGGGTCCAAGGCCCAAATCTGGAGTCACGCACCAGTGTCCAAGAATTTTCAAAAAAAAAATTTGTTATTTTTTCTTATGAAATCGTAGAGAATCTTTTTGTGAAGGTAATAAAACAAAAAGTACGAAATTTGGTGGAAAATTGACGAAATTATGCTCTTGCGAATTTTGATGTGTCAGCGATATTTACGAATCGGCGATTTTGCCGACTTTGACTCCCATTTTAGGCCAATTACATTATTCCAATCAACCAAATTCTTAGCTATTTCACTAGTATTACTTCTATTTTATCGATTGAGCACAAGAAATCGCCAAGTCAACTGTTTCAACTACAAAATAAAGTGATCGGAAATTGTTAATTTGGCCAATTTAACACAAAGTTCAAAATATTCCAATTTCAAAATAGGGTCCAGAATAAACAATGTAGGCATTCCTGGCACTAAACTAACATTTCCTCTGTTCATTAGTTATGTTTTGAGGCTTTACAAATAAATTCCATTTTGATTTTTTATTCACATAATGAATTTTTATTCACACCAAAAAATAGAAGATTTACTGTTATGCAATATACTGTAATAATTGTATAAATATCATCACCATATTTGTGAATGTATATCAGACCCACCAGCTGACGTGTATTAGACGTGTGAGGTCGTTTGTTTACTCTTGAATATCGGCAAAAATTTAACATTTCCGCTACTTTGAGCTCAGTTTCAAGCCATTTCCAGTGCTAAAACCAATCAAAATCATCTCTATTTCTGTAATATGTCTTCCATTCTATCAAATGAGACCAAGAAATCGCAAATACAACTATAAAAAACATACGAAAAAACACTGCAAAGTTGCTGTTTTAATCGAAAAATCATGATTTGTTTTTTTCTCTCATACACAGTGTGCTGCAGGATCTGTTTTATGTGGTGCACACATACCACATAGATGTATTCTCTCATATCTAGGCCCAAATGTACCACTCACAGTTTATCAGTGAGAGCTGAGCTCATGGCGTAGATCTATGGTTTGGACACTCACCGTAAAGCCGTAGATCTACGGGACGGACCCTGAAAGGGTTAAGGACATGTGTGAAATGTGGAATGAGTTGCAAAGTTTTGTTGAAAAGTATCACCCTGACCAAGCTGAAACAAGCCATATCTGCAACATGTACAATGACAGTGTTGTGTCCCACTTCAGGGAAATCTTAAAGAAATGCCAGAAAAGACCTCTGGACAGATATTTTGTGTGACAGGGGTCCAGTGACTCTCAAGTTGTTCCCAGTGGCATTAAAAGAAGAAGGGAAGTAACCCAGATAAGGACTTGCTACCTAAAGTCCTAATGGAAGGAGATTCTCCTTCCAAACAATAGTGTACACCTTGCTCCTATCCCCTCCTCCCGTCTTCCATCCACCCAGAAGTCTTCAGTAAAGGTAAGTGTAATTTTATTATTATTTTTTTATGCATGTACTTGATTTCTCATTGACTTCAGTATATAAATCTTTATTTAATTTGCAAAAAATATTTTAATATTTTTGGGTGTCTGGAACGGATTAATTTTATTTCCATTATTTGCTCTCTGGAACGGATTAATCACGAAACTCGGGGGTCCACTGTACGTTTGGACCATTTACGGGTTAAGATTTGCCTAAAATGGGCCACAACATTGTCATTGTAATAGTCACCAGCACGGCTTGCAATAGCTGTGTTAGGGTGATTTTCATCCATAAAGGTTTGCACTTCAACCCACTTTGCACACATTTCCTTAATCTTTGAAGTAGGCACAATGGACTCCACAACTGGCATAGGCTTCTCAGAGTTAGCCCCAAACCCTTCAAAATCTTTCTTAATTTCCATACTAATTCTCACCCTTTTTACCACAGGGTTGGCACTAGAAGCTTTCTTGGGGCCCATGGTAACTTATTTTGCAGTTACAAGCACAAAAACACTGGGATAAGGTGAAATGTACCGAATGTATGCGTGGATGTGACCGCACTGACTGGCTTGTAAACACTGGTGCTGAGGCCACACGTGGGACGCGTCCTGGACGAATCACGTAAGGCTAGTTTTTTATCGTGAGGCAAGGCAAAATTTTTGCGTTAAAATGTATCGTATGGCGAATTTAACATAACGTGATGCCATCGTAAGGCGGGGGTCCACTGTATTTGTTTTGTGATTTAATTATTATTACAATAAAAAAAATACTGTAAGGTAAAAGTTTCACAAACTCTTACAAATGTACGTGAATGAACTAAAACTGGACACGTATTAATACCGTCTATTTCGCCTGACTGAGTGATCGTCCACCACCTGCTCAGTTTGTGTTTTTACACTGTCTGAGCTCCGTGTATCTTGTTCTCTTTCATTTACTCTTTGTTTACTAATTGGCTCTCGTTGACAATGGCATCTAAGCTTAGTTGTGATAAAAAGAAGAGTCGTAAGCCTCTTACTTTAAGTGTCAAGTTAGAAATGATTAACCTTAGTGAACAAGGTATGTCAATGGCTGAGTTAGCACGTAAGCTTGGTTTGGCTTGTCAACAGTACAGTTGTGAACAATAAGGAGAAAGTGTTGCAGGAAATTAAAAGTGCTACACCACAGACCACTAAAGTTATAAGAAAACGTGATAACCTTATTGCTGACATGGAAGAACTTTTAATGGTGTGGACTGATGATCAGACTAGTCACAATGTGCCTTTAAGCAGAGCCATTATCCAGTCCAAGATCCTAAGTCTCTTCAATTCTATGAAGGCTGAGAGAGGGGAGGAAGCTGCTGAAGATAAATTCTCAGCTAGCAGAGGCTGGTTTAATAGGTTTATGGAAAGAAGGCAACTTCACAACGTCAGAGTGCAGGGTGAAGCTGCAAGCGCTGACAATTTAGCTGCAGAAAATTATCCATGTGAGCTAGCCGAGATAATAGATTGTGGTGGATATAACAAGCAACAGATTTTTAATGTGGATGAAACTGCATTATTTTGGAAGATGCCGCCATCTAGGACATTTATTGCTAAGAAAGAGAAGTCAATGCCTGGCTTCAAAGCTGCAAAAGACAGGCTAACACACTTGCTAGGAGCTAATGCAGATGGTGACTGCAAGTTAAAACCTATGATGATTTATCACTCAAGAGAATCCTAGGGCCCTAAAGAACTATGCAAAAGAACATAAGAAAGGAGGATCACTGCAGCAGGCCTGTTGGCCCATACTAGGCAGGTCCTTTACAATCCATCCCACTAACAAAACATTTGCCCAACCCAATTTTCAATGCTACCCAAGAAATAAGCTCTGATAACTCTATCCACTCATTTGCAAGTCCCACTTAAATCCAACCCCTCTCACTCATATATTTATCCAACCTAAATTTGAAACTATCCAAAGTCCTAGCTTCAATAACCCAACTAGGTAGACTGTTCCACTCATCAACTACCCTATTTCCAAACCAATACAGTGGACCCCCGCATACCGATTTTAATCCGTGCAAGAGGGGTAATTGTTATGCGAAATAATCGGTATGCGAATGAATTTTCCCCATAAGAAATAATGGAAATAAAATTAATCCGTGCAAGACACCCAAAAGTATGAAAAAAAAATTTTTTTTACCACATGAAATGTTAATTTTAGTACACACAAACTGAAAAAGGCATGCACAATTACATGACACTTACTTTTATTGAAGATCTGGTATGATTAAATGGGATGGGAGGAGGGGAGAGAGAGTGTTAGTTTTTTAGAAGGGGAATCCCCTCCATTAAGACTTGAGGTGTCGAGTCCTTTTCTGGGGTTACTTCCCTTCTTCTTTTAATGCCACTAGGACCAGCTTCAGAGTCCGGGATTCTTTCGCACAACATATCTGTCCATAGTGGCCTGTACCTCCTTCCCTTTAATGACTCCCTAAAGTGTTTCACAACATTGTCAGTGTAATAATCACCAGCACGGCTTGAAATAGCTGTGTGAGGGTGATTTTCATCAAAAATAGGTTAGCACTTCAAGCCACTTTGCAACATTTCTTAATCTTTGTGTGGGCAACTTCTTCAATTTCTCTTCCCCTCCTCTGAAACCATTTTTCTCAGTCTGGCCTCTTGCTCTGAAGTTGATCTTCAGCTCATCAGTGTTGTTCCTTTTCCCCTCCTCCACCAACCTTCCAATCCTCCCCACTAACCTCCACCCCAAGGATTTCCCAATGCCAATGGATCCAACGGCATAATCCTCTCAGGGTTAGCCTCAAACCCTTCAAATCCCTTTTTCTACACATTTGGCCACAGTTTCTTCCAAGCAGAGTTCAAGGTCTTCTTAGTCACTCCCTCCCAACCTTACCTAAAGGTTTACACAATTGAGGATATTAAAGTGCTCTCTCCAAAACTCCTTAGAGTCAGTGAGTTTCTGAGGTCATACAAAGCACCTTTCAAACAGAGCTTTTGTGTACAGTTTTTTTTGAAGTTCGCAATAACCTGCTGGTCCATGGCTGCAGGGGAAAGGGGTGGTATTAGGAGGGAAAAAATTGATGTAATGAATTTTCATGTCCCCATAATGTCTCTGCCATGTCTGTAGGGTGACCAGGGGGATTGTCTAACCCAGAGGCACTTAAGTTCTAATTTCTTTTCAGTTAGGTAATCTTTCACATTGGGGCAAATCATGGTGTAACCAGTCATAGAAAAAGTCTCTTTGTGACCCATGCCTTACTGTTTTTCCCTCCACAGCACACACAAATTCTCCTTGAGGACATTTTTTTGCCTGAACGGTCTGGAGTTTCAGAGTGATACACTAATAAAGGGTTTAAATTTGCAAAACACCAGTAGCATTGGAACACATCAACAAAGTAAGCCTGTCTTTCATAGGCTTATGTCCTGGGAGTGCCTTTTCCTCCTGAGTAATGTAGGGCCTGCTTGGCATTTTTTCCCTTTCCCAAAAAAGGCCTGTTTCATCACAATTAAACACTTGTTCAGGTTTCCCGTCCTTCACTGCTATGTACTCCTTGATTTCATGCACATATTTTTTCCCGCCGCTTTGTGGTCCGAACTGGCAGCCTCACCATGCCTTATCACACTATGTATGCCACTACGCTTCTTAAATCTCTCAAACCAACCTTTGCTGGCCTTAATTCACTCAATCAGCACTAGTTGCAGGCATTTTTTTAATTAAATTTCCCGATGCAACTTCCTAGCCTTTTCGCTTAAAGATCGCTTGAGAGAGGGTATATCCTGCTAGCTGTTTTTCATTTTATCCACACCAATAAGTCTCTCTCAACATCTTCCATCACTTGCGATCTTTGTTTCGAAAACACAGTTAAACCTTTGGCAAGAACAGCTCCTGATTGCTTTCTGGTGCCCACAATAGTAGCGATGGTTGATTGGGGTTTCTTGTACAACCTGACCAGGGCGGCGATACGCACTCCACTTTCATACTTATCAATGATTCCTTCTTCATTTCTATTGGAATTCTCACCCTTATTGGTGTAGGGTTGGCACTAGAAGCTTTCTTGGGGCCCATGGTCACTTATTTTCCCAAAGAAACAGCACCGAAAACACTGTAATAATACGAAATATTCCGATTGTATGCTTGGATGTTACCGCGGAGGCTGGCTGGTAAACAATGGCACGGGCGGCACATGTGAGGCTGGCTGAGGGTGCACATTGGATGCGTCTCGGACGAAAATCGGTGAGGGGGTTTTTAAGCGGTATGCGAGGCAAAATTTTTGCGATTAAAGCAAGCGGTATGCGGATTAATCGTTATGTGGTGCCATCAGTATGCGGGGGTCCACTGTACTTTCCTATGTCCTTTCTAAATCTAAACTTGTCTAATTTAAATCCATTACTGCGGGTTCTCTCTTGGAGAGATATCCTCAAGACCTTATTAATATCCCCTTTATTAATACCCATCTTCCACTTATACACTTCGATCATGTCTCCCCTCATTCTTCGTCTAACAAGAGAGAGTAATTTAAGAGTCTTCAGTCTTTCTTCATAAGGAAGATTTCTAATGCTATGTATTAATTTAGTCATTCTACGCTGAATGTTTTCTAACGAATTTATATCCATTCTGTAATATGGAGACCAGAACTGAGCTGCATAATCTAGGTGAGGCCTGACTAATGATGTATAAAGCTGCAGTATGACCTCTGGACTTCTGTTGCTTACACTTCTTGATATAAATCCCAATAATCTATTTGCCTTATTACGTATGCTTAGGCATTGCTGTCTTGGTTTAAGGTTGCTGCTCACCATAACCCCCAAGTCCTTTTTGCAATCTGTATTGCTAAGTTGTACATTATTTAACTTATAAGTGCTAGGGTTATGGACACTCCTGAGCTTCAGAACCTTGCATTTATCTACACTGAACTGCATCTGCAACTTTTCTGACCAACAATAGAGTTTGTCTAAATCCTCCAGCCTTCCTGTTTATTATAAATCTAATTCGAAAGCCTGGATGACAAATTGGTTCACGGACTATTTTAAGCCTACAGCTGAGGCTTACTGCAAGAAAAAGAAAATTCCTTTTAATGTTTTACTTGTTTTAGACTATGCCCTGCCCACCCTACAGCTCTACATGGTATGTACATGGAGATAAATGTTGCTTTTATACCTGCAAACACAACTTAATTACTGAAGCCGATGGACCAAGGTGTAATTGCAGCCTTTAAATCTTATTACCTAAGAAGAACTTTCATTAAGGCTGTAAATTTCCTAGACAGTGATAAAATACCAGGACCTAAACAAAATAAATTAAAAACCTTTTGGAAAGGTTCCCCAATTTTGGATGGTATTAAAAATATTAGAGATGCATGGAATGAAGTTAAAGAAACTACACTCAAAGGTGTTTGGAAGAATCTAATTCCTGAACTTATGGATGATCTTGAAGGTTTTGAGAACCCAGTGGAGGAAGTGAGTGTAAATGTTGTGGATATGGCAAGGGAATTAGAATTGGAAGTGGAGCCTGAGGATGTGGAAAAATTGCTTCTCTCTCATGATGAGGCTCTGACAGACCACGATCTTCTGATTGAAGAGCCAAGAAACTTCATGAAGAGGAGATCCATCCTGATGATAGTCCTGTTGCCATTAAAGAAATGAAAACCCAGAATTTTGAAGAAGCTATCAACCATATAGAAATAGCAACGGCAATTTTTGAGAAGACTGATCCAAATTTCGAACGAAGTTCAACAGTGAATGCATCCCTTTCCCATGGTGTTACATGCTATAAAGAAATTTTAAGGGAAAGGAAAAAAAAAAAATCCATGAGGCAAAGTTCAATGCTTTCCTACTGTAAGAAAATATCATGGCAACCTTCAACATCAACAGCTAGCTGTGAACAGCCTTCAACATCAACAGCTAGCTGTGAACAGCCTTCAACATCAACAGCTAGCTGTGAACAGCCTTCAACATCAACAGCTAGCTGTGAACAGCCTTCAACATCAACAGCTAACCTTCAATAGCCTTCAACATCAACAGTTAGCTTTCAACAGCCTTCAATGTCAACAGCAACATACACTCCTTCAAAAGTTTCACACGTCTCCAAAACGAATCAAATTAGTTGAAGAATTAGAGGATGATGGTCTGCTATCTCATGATTTGATTTAATAACTACATTGCCACTCACCTCTCACATATTCATATTAAGTAATTTAAAGTAAGTAATAAATGTACTCTGTGTATTTTCACTTTTCATTGTATTTTTTAATGCCTAGTTCTATTGCTAATTTAATATATGTCAGTGTAAATATGTTATCTAGCATTTATAAGGGGGAAAAAAAAAAGTGTTCCACTTTACGGCGGTAGCCTGGAACCTAACCAGCCGCATAAGTGAGGCCCTACTGTAATTTAAATCTTATAACATGTAAACCACACATTGTAAGCTTTACAAGGAAATAAATATTTGTATTTGTATTGTATAACCACTCGCTTCTTTGTGACTGTCAATATGACTTCACAAGAGGTCGCTCTGCTGCTGATCTACTGTTTAACCTCCCCACTATGTGGTTTTCCCGTCATTGGATAAATCCAAGACCAGCTGTAGTAGCACTTGATATTGATGGTGCTCTCAACAGAGTATGGCACCAGGGACTCATGGCAAAACTGCAAGCACTAGGAGTCTCTGGCTCTGCATTATGCCTCTTTATGAATTACCTTCCAGGTAGATCTCAAAGCGTAGTTCTTAGCGGGACAAGTGCTCCAGTTCCCCGAATTAAGCCTGAATGCCTTCCACATCCCCCCCCCTAGGCGCTGTATAATCCTCCGGGTTTAGCGCTTCCCCCTTGATTATTATTATAATAATTAGAGGGACAAAATCAACAAGACATTCACTCGGTTCGAGTTTTCCACTGGGAAGTGCGCTTGGGCAATTGCTATGGAATGTCTACTTCAATGACCTCTTTCATCTCACCCCAGACTCTCATGCTTATGCAGATGACTGTACTTGACATTTACTTATCCAAGAGAGGAAATGCCAGCTGCTCTTAGTAATATCAATCACCAGCTTACAGCTATATCAGCCTGAAAAAAGCAATGGCAGGTTACATTTACTTCTGAGAAAACACAAATGATAATGGTCACTAGCCCCATGATGGTAAAGCTGGAGCAGTGGTAAGAATGAATGGGAGAGTGTTGAAACTCTGGGATGAGGTTGATATCTTAGAGGTGAAAATTGATTCCAAACTGACTATGAAGCCCCTCATAGTAAATCTTGCAAGCAAAGTACCAAAGAAACATCAGTAAGCTGCAAGACTGAGGGGAAAAAGTTGCTACATTTTGAGTAGCTCCACCTTTTTAATTGCATGCCCATCTCATATCAACTTCTTAAAGAAAAGAAAAAGACAGCTTTTCTCTTGCCTAGACCTGGACTGGATAAATCTGTCATTTCAGCAGAGCCTCTGATACCAGAGGGATGTGGATGGCCTTACTGTTATATACAAGGCCAATGTTGTCAATGTACCCCTCACTGTATTGTTTTATATGCTGCAATGTTATTTGTGTCCACCAGTGTCCCCGGAATCAACCATCATGAAAAATAAATTTCATAATACAGAAAAAACGGACAATCAGCAAAATCATACAGCCCCTTCCCTCTATTAGACCTTGAATTGGAAGGTTCACCATACATGAGTATGCATACATGCACAAAATACTTAGGGGAATTGATAGAGTAGACAGGGATAGGCTGTTTGAGGCAAAAAATGGGAACTTGGGGACACAGCTGGATGTTAAAGACAGATGAACTAAACCAAAGGGATGTCAGGAAGCATTTCTTCAGTCTCAGGATGGTTGGAAAATGGAATGATGTCAGTGAAGAAATGGTGGAGGCAAGATGTATACAGGAGGCCCCCGCTTTAGTGTTTCTCTGTATATACAGCATTTTGCTAATTCAGCAGTTTTCAATTGCACCCATTCTTCATTTATTCAGACTTCCTACAATAAATATATTTACCACTTACTATAAGTTAAGGTCGAAAACATTTTAAGATGAATAATGTACGTATGTACAGTACTGTATAAACCATATCACGGGCGGGGTTAGAACCGCGATCAGAGAGTCTCAAAACTCCAGACCGTCATATTAGCCACCGGGCCAGCTAGCCACAATAAGATTCATCCAACTAGGTATATTTATACACTATAGGAACGTTACCACAAATGCAAATTTTTACAGACGAATCTCCAGCTAGCGTGGCCGTGAGGAACTAGCTCAAGTCCCCTCAAAGCTGTCCACATGACTCATGAAATCATAATGACATAACTGCAAACAAACCATACCACAAGTGGGGTTAGAAACCGCGATCAGAGAATCTCAATTGTATCATTACGATTTCGTGAGTCATGTTGATGGCTTTGAGGGGACTTGAGCTAGAGTTCGTCACAGCCACACTAGCTGGAGATTCATCTGTAAAAACTTGCATTTGTGGTCACAGTGGTGCCTATGCTAACCTTCCTATGGTGTATAAATATACCTAGTTGGATGAATCTTATTGTGGCTAGCTGGCACAGTGGCTAACACGACGGTCTGGAGTTTTGAGACTCTCTGATCACGGGTTCTAACCCCGCCTGTGGTATGGTTTGTTTGCAATCATGTCATTACAATTTTGTGAGTTATGTACTGTATATGCATTTTTTAGGCCTAACTCTATTGCTCACTTAATATGATAGTGTAAACATATTCTTTCTTTCCTTCAACAAACTGGCTGTATCTCACCGAGTCAGGGTGGCCCAAAAAGAAAAACAAAAGTTTCTCTTTTTAAATTTAATAATTTATACAGGACAATGGGTTAAACAAACCATACCATGGGCGGGGATAGAACCTGCGATCAGAGAGTCTCAAAATTCCCTACTCCTGAACGCGGGTTTTTTATCCCGCTTTGGGTATGGTTTGTTTTCAATTTGTTTCTTTTCATTTTGGGGAACAAGGGTTTTCAACCCCCTTGCTCCCCGGTATTTTTAAAATCACCTCTTAAAAACTCATGGTTAAAGGGGGAATAATTTTTGTTCCACCTTTCCCCCTGGGTTGGGAAACCATGTTACCCGTTTTTTAAAAGCATTTGAAAGTGTAAAAAGGCTATGCTTCCCCGTTAAAGTATTTTTTTTTTTAAACAGTAGCCCAGAACCTAACATCCCGTAAAAGGGGGGGCCCCCGTATTAAATTACTGAATATACATTTCAATTTTTAAAAAAATTTAAAAAAAAAAAGTTACCGCATGCATGTACACACTGTACACAACTGCCCCATGTGCCTAAAAATTTAAAAATGCATCAGAATTTTTCACCCCTGAAAGGGTAAGGTTTTCAGTTTTTTTTTTTTTTCCCCCCAAAAAGTCACCCGTCCCCCACCGGGGCGGGGTGACCCAAAGAGAAAGAAAATCCCCAAAAAAAAAATACTTTCATCATTCAACACTTTCACCTCATCACACATAACCTGTTTTTCAGAGTTGCTCAGAACCAACATTTAAAGCTATATTATAAGATACACAAAAAATCCCCCAAAACTCAAATACCAAAAAACCCCTCCTTTAGAGTGCAGGCATTGATTTCCCCATTTCCAGGACTCAAGTCCGGCATATAAAAAAACCGGGTTTCCCTGAATCCCTTCAAAAATATTCCCCTCTCAACCCCAACAGTCGTCATCCCAAATACCATTCGTCTCCATTCACTCCTACAACACCTCATGCCCCTGCGGGAAGCCCAAACCCCCTCCCCAAAAAACCCCCCTACCCTTCCAACCTTTTCGAGGACGACCCCTACCCCCCTTTCCCTTCCTACAGATTTAAATCCCCCCATTCATTCACTTTGATCCATTCTCTCTAAATGACCAAACCCCCTCAACCCCCCTCTTCAGCCCTCTGACTAATATTTTATTAAACCCACCCCTTCTCCAAATTTCCAACTCCGAATTTTCGCATAATTTTACCCAACTTTGCCCTTAGACGGGACACTCCATGCCTCCACCCCCCCTCGCGCTGCATTAAAACCCAAGCTTCACACCCAATAAGAGTGTTGGTCTACTATATTTCATACTTTCCCTTTCTTTCCCTCCATAATAACATTTTTTGACCCCACTATCCCTCAACGCCCCACTCCCCTTTTTTCCTTCATAAATTCTAGAAAACCCTCATCCTTCATAAATCCATCTCCGACACTCAACCCCAAATATCTAAAAACATTGACTTCCCCCCAACCCTCCCCCCAAATTTTTAAACCCAAATTTTCCTTTATCTAAATCATTTAAAACCCTCATCACCTTACTCTTTTCTATGTTCTTTTTAACTTTCTCCTTTTACACACACCCCAAAACTCACCACAACCTTTGCAATTTTTCTTTAGAACTCCCTAAGCACAGTATCATCAGCAAAAAGAAACGGGTTCAATTCCAATTTAAGTTTTATTGTTTTAAAATTTTTTTTTCCCATTTATTCTATTTTTCTCCTAATATTTTCAAAAGTGACATTCTAGGCAGTCAAAAGATTAATTAATTTTACTGATCTCCATAAATCAAGTTACCCCTCCTTATAAAAAATATTACTACTTTTCTAAAGCCAAAGAAAACTAAAACTTGCTATTTGGGGGGGAAAAATTTTTTAAAAGGGGGTTAAATAAAGTAAACTTTTTTCAAGTGAAAAATAATTTGGGGGGAAAACCCCCCTTTTCCCATTAAATGACTCTCATGTATTCAACGGCCCTTCATGCTAAAAAGCAAAATAAAAGCTTGCAATAAAGGTGTAGCAGATTCCCCACAAAAATAATTTGCAATAATTTTCCAAAAACCTCAAAAAGTTGGCTGATTTTCAACAACACTCAACATACATAGGACTTTAGTCTTAAACATTCATAAGAAATAATCTTAGAACAATGATTTACCTTTTAATTATACGCTTTCGTTCTTTTTATGGAATTAAGTTTTATATAAACTTAAAAATGGAATTAGGCCTACAAAGAGGAGTCATACAGTGATCTGGTTATAAATAGTCCTTGGCCCCCATGAGTCTAAATGCCTAATTTACGAAATTTTCAAGAGAGCAGTAATACTCTCATCCAGCAAATTTGACTGACTTAAAGGGAAAAGATCACCCCGGGGACACAATGCTTTTCACAAAACTATACATACATATTTTGAAAAAATTTTATATGAAGCAGAAAAAATAATCACAACTCTTATTCTTTTAAATATTTTAAATTTAAAAAAGCTATACTTTAAACAAAATTATACACATTCAACTCAGGTGAAAAACAAATTATTCATAAAGCCTGTTCCCCTGACTAATAATTTAAATTTTAAAAATGGTAAATTATAATACATGTAATGCTATAATTCGTGGGAAGACCTTTTATATTAACAAATTTTTAAAGATGATAAGGGAATTATAAAAAAAATGAATGATTTATTAAAGCATAAGCTGTTACCCTTTCAAATTTATATGAAAGACCTCCAGAT